TCCCCGGTTGCGACCCTGCAGGGCGGCTCTCGGGAGCCCACGGCGTCGCAGTCCGCGGGGTGCCCCGGCAGAACGCGGGGCGTGCCCCAAGCCCTTCCCCTGGCTGTGCTTACAGATGCGCCGCTGAGCGATGCTCATCTGCGACGGCCTCCGGCAGAGCGCTACGGTCGGGTTTGGATAACTAGCCCCGTTTTCCTGCCCCGTCAGAAACCCTCCCCACGCTGGCCGCAGTCCTTGCGCAGGAAAATAAAACAAAAAAGTGATTCTGCGGACAAGATGCGAGCTAGCAGCCCTCTTGCCCAGGAACTGCACTGACAGACCGGCACAAACCTTGGCCCGTCAGTTGTCCTCGGCATTTTTCCTTTCATTGCTCTCTTGCTGAGATCGTTTTTCACCGCTTCCCCTTCCGAGCAGTCTCTGCTGCTACCGCAGCCTGATCGAAGCTGCCAAATTCAAGGTGACCCAGGGCAGGGCTCTCTGGCAGTCTGCCGGTGGCTGTCGCGTCCTCACAAGCTGCAGGGTCTCCGCTCCCAGCCTGCACGTTGGCATTTGCCGTGCACGCTGCCGTGGGGCTGGGGACCCCCGGGTGGCTGACGCTGGGACATGGCCGGTGCGTGGTGACCTCCACGGGGCTCGGGGCCGAGCCGTGCTCAGGGCCAGGCCCTTCCCCTGCCCCGGGGTGGATTTGCAGCCTCAAGCTGACAGCACCCAGTTTGCACCTCCCGGTCTGTGGCATCTGTGGCTTCCCGGGAAGACGCTGTCACAGCAAACTACCAGCTCCTCCAACTCCCCTTGTGCAGGCAGCGAAGGAACCCAGTACCCACCAGACTGAGCCCACCTCGACAGATAAAACCCGCCACCACCATGCAAGCAGAATCCAGCTCCATCCATGGTCAGAGCTGCATAAAATCAGGACAGGTCTAACACTGGCCCCTAAGTTACTCCTCCACCTCCTCAAGGTAACCTGGGTGGGGGTATCGTGCCCAAACTACCCCGGATACTGCACAGAGGCTCCCTCCCTCCCTCCCCGTCGCGAGACATTTGCTGCTCTGCCTCGCAGGAGGACGAGCCAGCCCTGCATGGCTGTGGCTGTGCAACCAGGGACTTGGCTTTCCCTGAAGCTGCAGCACCCCCAGTTTGCAAGCACAGTTTCCAGCTTTCCTCACGTCAGGAGATTATCTCCATGAGAGCACGTCCTTGGGGGGAAGCTCCTGGCCACATCCAGCACGGGTGTAGGGACAGGAGCAAGGGGAAGGCTGCTCAGCGAAGGCAGGGTGAGAGAACAGAAGGCTCCAACTCAGAAGTCAAGATCAACAATGTCCCCAGTAGCTTCCCTGTGGAGAAGCTCCTGCAGCTCCTCCTGTGCCCCCACCAGCACCCCCTGCTCCCAGCGGGACAGGAGTTCTCCCCCAGGTCTGGCCAAAAGCTCCCGCTACCCCTGGTCACCCACCAGCCCTCCCCGAGGCAGAAAATCCTGCAGAAGAGGCACGTGCGATGAGCAGCGCTGGAGAACGGGCTCAACTTCAAGGACACCACCAGCAGCGCAGCTGGGGAGGACGTGCCGCCAAAGCTCTCTCCGAGAGACACAGCACCACACAACTGAAAAATAACTTTACATAACTAAACCCTGCAGTTTACGGAGAAGGCGTCGATAATTGCCCGCTCCGCCACCCCGAGCAGCCCCTGAGGAGCTGTGAGGCACTTGGGGACCCCCAGGGCGGAGAGCAGGGTCCCTGCAGGCGCCAGCCACGCTCTGCTGCGGGCCAGAGCCGCACCGGCACGTTCCAGTACGGCTACGGAGGGGGGCCGGGACAGAGCCACAGTCTGGAGCTTTGCTCAGAGCTACATTAAAATGCTTGAACTGTGCTAGCCCTAATGATGAGCAGAGCTGTCAAACAAGGAGCTTGTCCCAGCTAATTATCTCTAACGAGGGCAGAGTGTCAGGGTCCCCGAGGAGCTGGGCAGCAGCTTCCCACTCAGCTCAGCTGCAGAAGAGGGAGAAGATAAGCAAATGTCATTGTGCTGGCCTAGCTACAAAACCATTAATTAGGGAAATGCAAACTTCTATGCCAGTTTGCTCTGAAGAACCTGGACTCGCCGGAGCCGAGACATGCAGGCAGGCTGGAAGCATCCCAGCTTTTTCCACAAAACCTGTCCCCCGCAGCGCTGAGCCTCCTGTCCCCGCGCAGACAGCGCGGCCCCAGCCTGGCAGCCCCCGACCAGCCAGCCTGGGGCTGCGCAGAGCTGCCACACTCACCCCTTGCGCAGGCTTGAACACGTTCCCTAGCCCAAGAAGCAGCAGAGAAGACTGGGTTTCATGAAACGCTGCCATTTAGGTCACATTCACCTCAACCACCTCCCTCATCCCCAGCCACCTAGCACAGCCCTGCAGAGGCTCTGTGCCTGCCCAGTGCTGCCTCTGCAGCACCTCTCTCCCAAATCTTTCAGGCAGACGTCGAGGCACTGGCAATTTCTGCTCCCCTGTGGTCCTACTCCATTCCAGTGCAGAGGGGACCAGCCACTCACTGCTCCAGAAGCCCAGTTTCTCTCTTACCACGGGTCCTGTGGCTCAGAAGCCAAGACTTGCCCTTATGCGCTAGAGAGGGGGGGCGTGTCTCATCCCAAGGCGAGGTTACGGCAAAGGCCCTTCCTGAGGCGACAATCCAGAGACACAGCTCACATGAGGTCCATCCTGCAAGCTCTGCACTTGTGCCTCACCTCAGAGAGCTGAAGGGAAAGGAGGAGAGGCTGCTCTTTCCCCAGCCAGAAACCCACTGCAGGACCATGAAGCTTACAGGCAACACCAGCGGCACTCAGTGCCATTCACTAGCACATAATTATTAACTGCTCTTCAGCCCCTTGTTGCCAGACAGGAGCAAAGGCTTGAACAGCCACTTCAACTACAATTTTACAAAAGAAAATTTAATTAAAAGTCACCAACTTCAAACAGAAACAGCGCTGAAACCCCAGAGGTCAGAGTGAGCCCTAGGGCCAGCAACTGCG